AAAATATTATCTACTCATCTTCAATTTGTGGTTTTTAAATTTTTTTCAACGCTTTATGTTTTATTATAATTTAAAGACTTCTCAAATTGTCCAATTTTGACTTCAATATATATTTCAAAAAAACGTCATTAGTCTATTTTAAATATGAATTATATATTTCAACGTTTCAGTTTTTGCCAATTTGTGCTTAAATATTTTTTTAATTTTACATTTAATCTATGTAAATTCTTGGGATTTTTTTTCTTATTTAAAGAATAATTTATGGGTTTTTTTATGAAAAAATCATTTTTCATTTTTTAAAAAATTTAGTTCCAAGTTGAAACATTTTTTTCTCAATATTCAACACATATATTATTCATAATTTAGATGGCGTCAAAATATCAAGATTTTATGGAAATTGAATCAAAATATAAAAAATGAGATTAAAATAATCTATCTATTTTTAAAAATAACAAAAAAAATCTACAATATAGATTATATGTCATCAATGGTTTCAGATGTGTTTTATCATATAGAAAATATTTAAAATCAATATCTAATTTCATTTTAAGTGCATTTCGTATGACTTTACTTGCATATCTTTAATGCTTAATGCTTACACTAGTTCAGATTTTATAAACTTTGTAAAGTTTAAAAATCAAATCGGACCGTTAGATCTTTCTAATATTTATTACACACGCTTGATACATACTTAAACTAATCTTGAACGGTTCAGATCTTAGATCTATATAATATTAATATTTACAATATTTTTTTCAATCTTTCATACTTTTAATTCTTTCAGATCTTTCATGTATTTCAATAATAAAAGAAATGGTTATTGAAAATTTTAACTCATGTTTATCAACTTTAATACTATTTTCAATTGAATTTTCAGTTTCTCTATCGTGGAAAATTAAATTTTTAAACTATAAAAAAATACAGAGATTTTACACTATTTTTAATTTAAATATAATTAATTTCTAATATATAGATATTAGTTGTCTAATTTAATAGTGTCAAAGATGAATTTTAAAATTTAAGATGAAAATTTATTACATTTTTTTCATTTTTATATATTGTATTCTATGAATCAAATAGAGTTAAGATTCAGAAATTCCTTAAAATTTCTCAATAAATCTATTTATTTATATTTCACTTTTAGTAAAAATATCATTTAAAAAAAAACTTTCTCATAAGTATTATTTATTTGATTTCAATTTTTAAGTTTATTCATTTTTTATTAATTGCAGAATTCTCTAAATAAATAAAATTGAGTCTAGAAATCATAATATTGAGAGGAGTACGGGGTATAGGAGCAGAGCAGCCCATGTGAGGTGGATGGGGAAGAGATTTTGAACCAAAAAGAATTCAAAGAAATATTTGAAACTTTGATGTTTTCAAAGTTTGACCCTAAACTCTTCAAATACACCATCAAGACCTTTTTAGACCCAAAGACAACCACCAAGATTCATGTACGTAGCTTTTTCCTGTCTCTCTGCTATGGGCTTCTAGTTTTCAAGAAAGTATTTTGTAGAACGTGCTAACGAGTCTTCAACTCTTTTCCTTGTTCCATATTCAGCTGGAAGTGAAACTCAACTTGCTTGCGCAGGTACTGGGCAACAAATATCAAAGTCAACTCCTGGAAATTATCGATCCAAGGTATAACTCAGCTCGAGTCTCTGAACTCTAAAAGTCCAACCGTGGGCTCATTTGAGTCGCGGTCCACCTCTTTCCCTCCGCCATCGCTCCCCAGACACAAATTCCCTCGGCCTTTCCCCATTGGCCACGTAGGGGATTAAAATCTCGGTTAACCGTTAACCGATACGGACCAATCCTGGACCGGTTAACCGGTTAATTGGACCGGTTAACCGATCCACACATTTTCCGGACCGATTAACCGTTAACCGGACCGTGGCCAAGCTTAGTTATAAGTCTAGTGAGATGATGAACCTTGATGACTCGAACATGTGGGTGAGCTCTTTTTGAGAGTTTCCTGCAGCCTTTGAGAATCTTGCAATTGCTCAGCATAGAGATACATAGTGGTTTGCAACCATCGGGAGAGAAGGTTATTAAGGATGAATTTGTAGGTTTCATGTGGGGGAATACGTCTATTTACAAGAGACTTCAGCAACCACATTGGATATGATGGCGAGACGCACTATCTTGCGAGTGCGGGAGGTGTTATATTTTGGAGTTTATATGTTGGAGGGTCGTGACAGAGTTGTGTGGAAGATTCATATGTGCAACTGTCCACCATGCAACATTCCAAACATTGATAATATAGTGGATTCAAACGCAGCCGTGATACATGTTGACTTGGAATGTATGTTGTGTGGTTCGGCTGGTTACGCTAGCTGTATGTTATTATGTGATACGTCATCTCGAAATTGGCACATGTCATGCTGAACTCCACCTATTGATGTTATTCCTACTGGATGTTGAGTTTATGCTCGATGTACTTAGACCGATAGATGATTCAATCTACACATGACATGAATTGCAAATAGACAACTAACGATGGGACTTCCTTGGCTTTCGGGCTCCTCATCTTTGCATTCACAAAAGTGTATGTCATAGTGTAGATGTATAGTGTTATCTGGAGTTAGAGGGACCTTACCGTTAGCTACGGCGGCGAGTTGTGATGTATTTGTGTACGTACGCTCTCGTGAACTATATACGTGTGTGTGATTATGGCTTGTCAACGATGTAGATTGTATGATGATACATATTTGCGCGACAAATTCTCAAATACCAAGATACTATTGAAATCTTTTGGCACAATGCGACATTAATCAAATAGTGAAAGATCACAAAAAGCCTTTGGTTTTTGTGCACCTTAAACATGGACTTATATCATTTGACAAACCAGTCTGATTTTAGTGAATCTTTGACTATTCTTGGATAGATTTACTCAAACTCATTATTTAAAAGATTGGCCTATACATTTTCAAAAACAATGTCACCATATAAAGACTTTTTTTTGTCGTGAAATGGAAAAATGATGTTTGCATATAAAAAATAACAACCACATCTGGAAAGTGTATTACATTGCCATGAGATTCAAACATTATTGAAGAAAATATGAAATATTTATACTTAACTCCATTGCTTCTTCTTTTTTGATGATAATCTTTTTTTTTTATAATACAAAAAAATTCCTTATATAGAGAGGCCTGCACATAGCTGACAATGAAAAGGATAATGAATAAATTTAGAAAGGGCCAAGTGGATAGCAAATGATCCATCGAGACCGTACAGAGGAAGAAAATGAACTGAATACTGACACTGAGTCCGAGAGTTTTGTGATTGGGGGAAATGAAGAAAGTGGCGCATCTCTTATAAAACAGACGCGTCTTTGATTTTGTAAAACAATGTTGCATACAATGTTTCTGTAATTTATCCAGTATAGATTTCCTATTCTTTTATTTACTGTATGCAATTTCTTATTTTTCAATGTCCGATAAGAAATCTAAGGGTTAAACCGTTGAGTGAAACGGTTGTCTTCCTGAAAACTTTCCACCAATATGAACCAGCGGAACCATGACGAAATAAAGTAGACTTATTCTGATCTGTTTTGAAATTCGATTACGATAAATATGCTGTTATGCACTGGCTATTTGAAAACAGAGTTTATAGTACAATATGTGATTATCAGCGTTTTCCTTGGATACTCAGTTAATACCAAATAGCTTGCTAAATACACTTATGACCATTAGGATCATGGACAGCTTCAGTTTCTTTTGAAACCTGGGTTTTGCATTGACACAAGCCAAACCTACTACAATGTTATCCTTGCAACAATTTTGAATAATATCAATTGCGTAACCACTGATCGTGATGAAAAAGTCACACCATGCATCAGGTGTGCAAATGGCTATTTAATTCCACGAAGCAACAAACGCCCATGTTACTTTTCCTAATTTTCCTTAGCATTACAAACGTGAACCATCTTATCGAATCCAGAGTGCCAAAAATGTGCAAGTGGTTAGGGTTCAAGTTTAGCTGCTTTTGGAGCTCCGACGTGGAATTGACATGGTGGGTTTGAGGGGTCCAATCATCCCATCCTTCCTTCGAAAGAGCACCCGAATCTTACTTAGTAATGATTCAGTTGCATATGATGAAATATTTGGAAGGATTCGTGCCCAGTTCTGCAACATGTTGGGCCTTCCCATCGTCTTCTTCTTCCACGTCTGGTCTTGTTCTTCGTTCTGGTCTAAAGCGTGCTTGGCCGAATGACCCTACAGATTTTGGTAATCCTATTGTGCTGGACTTCTGAGAATGGGCAAGCAAGAGACGAAAACCTTGAGACGCTTGCAATACCGGTACCCTTGGACAAGAAGTTCGAGAAACACAAAAAAGCTGGAGAATCGCCCACGAAAGAATTTGCACTTTTCCAAAGATCTAAATCTAGTCGATTAGTATTTTGCAGCAATCGAGAGTTATGTCGAGTGTATGATCTACAATTTGAGAAGCTCGTATGTCGTACGTGATCGCAATATAGGCAAGTAGGGGACAGAGGCCTTAAAGTCCCCCAGCGCAAATAATTATGGTTGCTGTAGGTCACACTTTTTGACTCGATATGCAAGTCTTGACCTGTTCACATCGGAGGCCATGTGGATGGATGGAGCTGACGGCTGGGCTCGAGGCAGACGAAGCACTCCATTGACCCCAACCATTGAACACACGAATACGGTATCGATACTTAGGCCAAACCTGTCCCTACACCAGACTCCTAATACCGCATACGCCCGATTCCTTTGCCCCGGGTCGAACCCGTTTATTAGGTCGCCGTGGATTCCTCCGCTCAGATTCTGGGCCTCCTCATGCGCGTCCAAGTGGACGACGCAAATTGTGACCGGATGATATCCGGGATTGACCCCAACCCGGTCTGAAATGTTGCAGTATTTGGGGAGAAATGTCGGGTCGTGCTGGGCTGTACGGTGGGAAGAACAGTACTACTCGGCACTCGGCGCTACTTACGGCCAAAAGAGAAGGCGACGGCTCGAGAGTAATAATGGCGGAGACCTACGCACCAACAACGAAGGTTGTTGTGTGGAGAGGATTAATGAATGCCTCGTCACAACGACAGCACTTGTAAATGTTTGAAAGAAACATCCGAGAGCAGGTGGTTTTCGCCGGGTCGCGATATTACGAGTCGAGCGGTCACGTAAATTCCCTTCATCCCTCGTTGGTGCTGGAGGTGAGAACAAACATAATTGACCATAATACTGGGATTAGAGATCTCAGACCATGCAAACAGATGCATGCACGATTCGGCCGGTCCACGAGAAGTTTCGGCAATGAATGTGTCCCTGTGCTCAGCCAATGCAGTCCGTCTCTCGTCTCCAAAGATCATCGCACCTCACACAGGCTGCTAAGATCGAAAGGTCCTGTAGCACGAAGCACGGAGGAGGTGACCTATGCTCGCTAAAAGATGGAAAGAAATTTCAACAGAGAGAGCTCGGAAGTCAGAAGAGAACGGGTGGTAGTGAACACAACCGACCTGCTGTGGATGTTGGTGACAGCACACTCACGGAGTGCTGGATCGGTGAAGGATTAAAGAATTACCCCGTGGAAGGACGCGCTAAAAGTCAATCCTGGTGATTTGCAAGTCGCCAGACGCGCCTACAATGATTCCTTTCCAGTGCGTATCGATCAATTTGGGAGTCCGGGATTAGGCACAGTGCCTGTGGGGAGAAGTGGCGGGGCGAGAGGTCGCGAGAAACATCAAGGAAATCCTGTTGCGGCGAGGAGGGAGAGACGGATTGAACCCACTCATCCTTCGATTCGAACGAGGGGAAGAGGGGGGCCGCGCCCGTCTGGAGAACGCGGCGGCGTGCTGTGAGAGACGCGCAACAAATGATGTAGTATCATCGCACTCCCGTTGCTCTCCCGTCGACTCGAGCCAGCCCCAGCGGACACAAGTGGCAGGACCTACTGTGGTTCCAGTCCGGAGGCCAGCGGTATCACATGGAGGGAGGGTTTCCGCACATACATACAGTACCGCACTCGGTGTCGAGCGTCACTGTACTGTACTGCGAAGCAAAGAATCGCCCATACGGACTACGTAGCGCTGGGTCCTCACCGAGTAGGACGACCCTCCGGTGGGATAAGGGCGAGAGGAGGAGGCTCGGAAAGCCGAGATACACGGACTCCATGTATGTATGATGATGTCTGATGTATGGGATGGATGGATGACATGTGGACGTGCCTGTCACCCGAAAGAGAGAGTCGTCCACTAGCGAAAGTACAGAGAGCGAATAGTGCTGCTGCTGCTGCTGGGCTGCGCGCAAACGTCTAGACGGACCCTGGACCCTGGAGTCTGGCACGGCCTGATTTCACCGGTCAAGTCAGTCCGTGCTCTTTACTCCGGCTCAGGGTTTCGTCGCACTCGTTCGGCCCGTCGCAGTGGTCCGGAGGTTAGTTAGATGGGGGCTGCACAGAGCCTTGTAAGATTTCTGTTTTCACCGAATTCCCACTCTTGCTTGCTGCAGCAGGCTCCTCTCCGCTCCTTTCCTTGAGCCTCTTGCTCTCCACATCGCCTTGGAGCGTGTCATATCGTAGGACGCCGTAGGTGCTAGGCGAACATACAGCAGTGGTAGGGGCGGAGGAGCGGAAGTCGCAGCTCAGAGAAGCGAGAGCCATATACATTGGCTCTTTATCTGCTGCGGGATTTGTTGCAGAGCGCAGAGCTGAGGGGGCTTGGCGGACTAGTCTGGGACCGCTGCTGTTGTTGGGGCTTCTTCAATTTAGTTGCGGGGGAGGGGGAGTGTGCAGCTTCCCGTTAGATCCATTATCCACTCCTGGCAGGCAGGGCGGCCTGCGCTCCGTCGGGTTTGCTTCTCACGTGTGGCGCTCGGTCGAATTTAATTTCTGTCCTGCGTCGCTTTCGTCTCGCAGCCCACGCTCCTCTTGCGAGCCGACGACGACGACGACGACCGTCCCGTCGGTTGGGCCGCTGTCACACAGTCCCGTTTCGCTGCGCTTCTTGCAGCGGGGGGCGCTGATCCAAACGGTCCCTTGCGCTGATCCTCTGAACTCTGTCGCCCTCACGTACATTCCTGCGACGCGCTTGCCTGCCACTGTCATCGCGAGGGCAAGCTCGAGCGGCTCCTTCTGCTGCTGCTGCTGCACTCGACTTGTCTCGCGAGGCGGGCACGACGACGGCTCCGAGCTCCACGAGTGCGAATGAGCAATTTCTGGCCTGGCTGCCGGCGCGCTTGCATGTGCGGAGCATTGTGAGATCACGACGACTATATTGGGCGGCCCGGACTATGGATGAGGATGCCCGTGCCTTACACTTGGCTCTGGGACCTGCTTGCGTCGCTGCTCTAGCTGGCACGTCCGCCGTCCCCGAAACTAGGACTTTCGCCCTCTCGCGTCGTGGAGTCTAAAGCCCGGACCATGGTCTCTCGTCCTGCCGAAGGTGGATTTCTCGTGTTGCTATGTCTCCGATCGTTCGGCCGCAGGGGATTGCTGCAGGGTGTCGAATGTGGGTGAATTGAATTCTCGAGGGGTTTGGGACGGCGTGAGCTTGCGGTAGGATCGGTGGTGGACAAGAGTTGCTCGTCTATCGTAGCGCACAGGAAGGGTTTTGGTAAATTTGAGAAGCTTTTCCGTCGAGGGACGAAGAGGAAGGCAGAGGTTCGAGTCAATCGAGGAGTCCGGCGAGCTACAGCTGCGTGGAGGAAGGCATCAGACGAGCATGATGTGAGGTAGGTCGTTGCTTCCAGAACAACGATCAAAGAGGATTAGAAATGGTGGACGTCGAACATCGGGTATCGTCCCACGCGCAGTACGCAGGCCTCAAGCGACTCTCGGCGCGAGCTCATGCTGGCACGGCCCCCACCAGCAGTGGGGGCCGCCGTGTATATTTCTCGTTTGCTGCATACGCTCGCACTGTCATTGATCACTTGAGAAGTTGCCGCGTTCCAATCGAGAAGGGCCTTACCGATGAGGAATTTGCTCGAGTGGAAGCTGCTTTTTGCTTCACGTTCCCTCCTGATTTGAGGGCTATCTTGGCCGAGGGGCTGCCCGTGGGAGATGGGTTTCCAAATTGGCGTCATGGCTTCTCTCACAATCTGCAGATGAGGTTTGATCTGCCTATTGCTGGGCTTCTTTACGAGGTGGCCAGAGGAAATGTCTGGTGGAAACAATGGGGACCTCGGCCTGTAGATACGGAACAAGCCGTCCGACTCGCGCTCATTGCCTTACGCAAAGCGTCCACCATGGTCCCGGTGTATAGCCATTGCTACATCCCCGCGTCTCCGAACATCGCCGGGAACCCAGTGTTCTTCGTGTACAGGAAGGATGTCTTCGTGTGTGGAATCGACATTGCGGATTTCTTTCAAAGAGAGCTGTTTGTTTCGCATGGCTACGAGGCTCCGAGGAATTTGCCGGACCTCAACGAGTGGGTCGATGATGGCAGCAGCAGGGTCGCGAGAATGGGCAGCGGGCGGGATTTGTTCAAGGACCGAGGCAGGCTAGTCTCCGGGAAGGAGAATTTTCTCGTGCCCGGCCGAGTGTGTGAAGACGAGGCACACGAGCAACAACATTACGAGACTGGTCCTGCCGCCTGGCGTGGGTCGGATAACCTAGGGGAAAACAGCGAAGAAACAGAGAAGAAGTGGGAGGTGCTCGAAAAAGATTTCGAGTCATGGGGTCGGAGTCTGGACTCTCTGGTCGCCAAGCATCCGGAAGTGCTCTTCAAGAGCTTGGACAATTTTGGCAGGAGGCCGAGTTCGAAGGGTTTTGATTGTCACCACAGACATTACACCCTTTCCAGATCGACGACATCGGGGTCGGCTAAAAACCCTGCGCAGGATTGCGTATCAAGATTCAGTTTTTTCGAGGAATCTCCCATTTCTACGAGAACGCTCACTCATTTCTCGATGAATGCACCGACCTGGGCTTCCAAAGCTCGTCGCATCGAATTCTGGAGCGAAGTCACGGAGAAACGGAACTCGTCGAATCTCCTGGCATCCGAGAACTTATTCTCGGCGCACAAAGTCGATGTGGATCTGGCAAACTTTTCGCCTCGCTGTGCGGAGGATCAGGCTTTGACACCGTACAGAAATACATTTTTGCCGAAATGGCTTGTAAACTACTTTGAAGATATTACCCTTCGTCTGCGCAAAGGTGGATGGAAAGAAGCTGAGATCGATGAGATGATGGATCCGCATCCTCTACCCAAGAAGGTTCAGGACAGCTCCGTGGATAAGCAGTCCGTGCTCGACTCCTTGGCACGACAGGCGGAAATTATACAAGCTACTCTGAGAGCAGCAGGTTGGAGTATGCGAGATGTTGCAGACGTGCTTACCGCGGACCTCAGAGATCCACACAAACGATCAACTACGCACATGTCTTCCGAACTCGCAACGCGTATCAGCACATTTGCAGAGTATGTTGTAAACGTCTGACAATGAATATGAGAGAGAGAGAGAGAGAGAGAGAGAGAGAGAGAGAGAGAGAGAGAGAGAGAGAGAGAGAGAGAGAGAGAGAGAGAGAGAGAGAGAGAGAGAGAGAGAGAGAGAGAGAGAGAGAGAGAGAGTTCTTATGTCGTCAAGACTACAATTAGGATCGATACTTTGAGCAGTAGATAGATTTCACACAGATTGTCAAGCACCTGCAACAATCTGGGCAAGCACTTGCCCACTGTCTATATTGTTACATTGTCAAATTGCATCAAGCAATAGGTAAATCGGGGCAGGCTTAGCCAGGTAAGAGTTATTCTTTAAGATCAGCGATGAAAGCTTGAAGACGAGGAGGGATGTGCACAGAAGAAGCCTTCTGCTTTCATCCGCTTTACTTACGAGACGTCGTCTACAAATCTTTGTTCCAGCAATGCTGGCTTATTGAGTGTATGTAAAGCTCTAGGGCCTTTCAGTATATGTTCACTTGTCAAGTCATCTGAGACCTCATCAGCCGAACGTGATTCTGCATGCCAGGGTTACATCCCACTTTTAAGAGTCACTCTGCGTTGGTCAACTCTACCATCAAATTATGGCCATGTGCTTCTCACGAGACTCGAAGCTGACGGTTTGTATTCAGTAAACCCCTTGGTACCTACGAGGATGCAACTTTTGAGCTCTACACTGCCAGGCCAGGCCACAGGCCCCGTGAAGTTTTTGTCCGTCGTATATTCTGGTGCAACAGCCTTAGAGCACATCATGGATATCACGAAAAAGAAATGAAGTTGCAATCTTTGAAAGCTTTCAGTTGATTCTCACCTGGCTACAACCGACTCCCTGAACTGGTCTGGGTCCGTTATCGCTTTCTTCGAGTGCCCCTTGCGTAAACGAGTAACCTCTGAGAATCTACATCACTAGGCCATGCCTCTTAGAGCTGCTGCCAAAACTTTACCGGGGTTTCTCACTTCCAGACGTGGACTACTTACCGAGTGTCAATCAATTCCCGACCTCGCCTCACACTGAACTGCGAGCAACATGGACGCTACTTAGCAGCCGGCAGCAATTAGTGACTTATGAGTACGTTCTGACCTACACTACACAGCGAGCAGACTCTAGGTCACATTGCATGTTATGACATGCACTTCCAAGCAAGTAGAATTGGTGGGCAAGATCGTATCGTACTGACAGAGAATATGTGTCCCTCTTAGAGAATCATGCGTCAGCCGGAGAAGGGAAAGGTACGTCCCGTTCGACCGTTCTTCCCTGACTAACCATGAGAATTGGCTCGAGCTCCGCTTTCTTCACATGTACGTTCCCGACTGCTTTCCACGCCGAAGAAACCTTATTTGGAACGGGGATGGATGGTCTCCATTATGCATGGATCTTAGCAAAGGGGAGAGGAGGGTCAAGGCGACAGCGGGTCGGTCTATTTTGAGCTTCATGTGGGTCTGCCTGTCTGATCTTAGATTGAGGCAAGAATGGAAGGAAGGGGCTCTCGAGGAGAGGGATGATGAAGTCATCACTTCGCACCGTCACATAAGAAACACGAATGCCGAGGCTTCCAGGTCAGATTCGACACGTAGAGCACAGCAAGAAGGCACACTCCATGATTGCTGAACTGATTTGTGCTACTGGGTGGGACATTTCTCGTCTTTCGGCCGGCTTTGGACCAGCGGCTCCGGAGGATGCATCATTGCCCGTCGTTTCTTCGAGGTTGCATCATGCTCACGTGTTTTCTCAAACTGGGTACCGGCTCTCGAGTCCTGACAGCCTTTTCTCTTATTGTTAGAAATATATGTCCATCGTGTTGGACTGCCACAGCCCTCAGAGAAAGACGTATGGTATCAAGTCTTGTGGCAGAAATGATTGTAAATCCAATCTAGGAATACACCAATAAAACCGAAGTGTTAGGGTGCTCGACCCAATGACACCAACATAGTAAAAATGTTTTGCTCCGACCAAGATGTTCAAGATATATCATTTCCAGGATTGTTCAACTAGTGATACGGGTAAAGTATTGGATAAATGGTGTACAAAACTTACTACACAATTGTTAAAATAATAACAATCTTGTGATTGTTTTCACATGGATCTTCACAATTAGTGCTTTATGTAATCTAATGAATGCAATTTGCTAAAAAAAGTTATGCTCCAAACCAGTACGGTACAATCTCGTAAATTTTATCACAATTGTAAAGAGACTAGAGTCATGTAACGTCAAAGTAGAGTGAAAGAGTTGACAACTCTATACAACCATCATCATATAGAGGACTTTGATGTTGCACTACCCTTGCCACCCATCCAAGAGAGTATGATAGTCATTCATTCTACACAGTGTAACATGTAAACTCGAACATATGCAATCATAGCAGGGATTTCTTGACCGTAAACACGAATCTCTCTCCGCGAACTACTGAACTATCCATGTCTTGACAAACATCACATGATAACATCATTACTATTGCATTTCATAATAACGATAAATTCATGATATATAAATTTCTTGCGGTGTAATAGATATTTCAAATTATGGTTCTTTATGATTTAAATATTGAAGATCATTTATATCTAAACTATATATATATATATATATATATATATATATATATATATTATAACAAACATCACTCAATAATATTAAGAAGAAGTTGATATTTTCAATGATGGAAATAATGAAACTGATTCACAATCTAAATAAACAAATAAATATCACAAATATCACTTGATAAAATCACGTAAAATAGTTTCTTTTAACTTAGGTAATGACTGCAAAACAGAATTTTAATATTTTTAGTGCCAAATGGGCTATTCGGTCAATTTCCAAAACGAGATCATTCAAATCTCAAAAAATTGATATTAAGATAATGAACCAATCTAAGTCATAGTTTTACTGATTTCGAAGTCATAATTTGCGTGATGACTGTAAATTTTGATTCACAAAAATGAATGATCTATGAATCACAATTGATGAGTAAAACTTCAAATTCCAATAACAAAATTAATTTGACCTTTTTTCTATATATTATTTGTATATTTAAAGAAGTGATATTCAACTACATCATTTTTATCATGCCAATAATAACCAAATTTATATTTGTATCCATTTAACTAGCAGAACTATACGTCCAGTCTTTTGATAGCATAATTGGTTACAAATATTGCCAAGAATGTATATACCAATCACAAATTTCTCACACCAATACAACGATGTCACCAATACCCACATGATCAGATGTGATAAGAATGTATAGAATAGATGGGTGGATTGATGATCAATTTTATTCACGGAAGATCACAGGTTTATACACTCATTGAGGAAAGTAATGTCACACTGTGCGTACGTACTTATCATACGAATGCAACATAAATTCAAAAATTCGTGATTAGTATCACACAAAATCCGCAAACCACACTTCTACTCCAAGAATGCATAATAAATCTTGATCATGCTTTAAAAATCGATACATTAACTTGCAGATATACAAAATGAATTCAGATAATCAAAAAATGAAAATCATAACAAGTGAGATCTGCTCTACTCACCATGTTTGCATCGTGCACTAAATATTGCAACAATTTCACTCAGCCAAAACAATAAACATCCAAGCTCCGGAGTGTCATATATCCATTTGCAAGGGTTAACTGTGTCCATGATTAATATTAGTTCGCTTCAGAGAATAGCCTCAGTCAAAACAATACACTAAAGACAAGGTTAAATTTCATGATCCTCAAGGGGGGCAACCGGCTCCATTTGGCCTCCCACAAGGAAGGAAATTATCATATAATTATACACACCAGTTTCGTGACCGACCCAAGTAGGCTGCAATAAAGCCGTTGGGGGGGGGGGGGGGGGGGGGGGGGGGGGGGGATAGTGCTATACTCACCTGCGGCATAGAACTGACAAGAGCGTCCAAAAAGGCTCGTTTGTTGTTGGGATCGGTCATCCAATGAGGTGAGCAAGAGCCCGTCTCATGTGCCCCTGTCGCCTGGCACCTCGGCAGACAGTCGACAGCTCCCAGATACAGTAAACGGGCACGGAACTAAGGTTGCCGGTAGGATATTGTCTCAGCAGGAATATAAATCACCCAACAATAGATGCGGAGCCTTCCAAAGTAGGTAGAGATAAGCCGTGGGAGGTATGGGAGGTGCACTTTAGGGGTTCATCAAACCGGCAACTGTAAGACATTGTCTCTTGTTCCTGCACCCTCAAGTCATGCATCGCCGTCCCCATTCTGCGGTTTTATTAATGAAGTGTCCACTTTCTATCCTCCAGTCCCAAAGGCGCTCGGGTGCTTTCCCGGTGTCCCAGACTACATTTCCATCCTCGTCCTCCCGGACCTCTTTCTTCCCTTCGACATGAGAGCAAGCATATTCCGAGATTCGCGATCCGGATGGGCTGCAGAGCGATGCCTCGTGCCAACCTTAAATGATTAATCAGCTTTACACTCCGCTTGTCCAAACTCCGGGACTTGGTTGGTCCTCGGACCTGGCTTCAGGCGAGAGTGGGGGAGCGAGTCCTAGGCTCTCAGATTCATGCTTCCAGATTTGCCACTGCTGAGGATTGACTCCATTACTGTGAGACGAGCGGTCTAGGACGCTGCGCCTAGATGCAAGACACAGCGGTGAAACTGGACGGTAAAATGTGGTAAACTCTCAAGGAAGAAGTGAAAGAAAAGTGAAGCCGGAGTCATGATGCATTGCGCCCTAATTCGAGACGACTGACAGGGGGAATGCACACGTAAATCTTCCACTCATTCGACCTCACCAATGACAGACCTGCATGGCCAACGTTACCGAGCGCTTCGAGCGGAGCGGAGGTGCAATGCTCAGTCGTCGTCTCATGAGTACTATACAGTTGGAAATCATTCCCTGTGCGCAAACTGTTTACGCAGGCGCATAAAAGCCGACAGTATCTCTCAGAAAAGAAAATGAGCCACTCCCAAAAAATAAGAAAATGAAGGATGTGCCACTCCTTCTGGCTCCTGCGCTCACCGTCGTCGTCGTCGTCGACCGGCGATGGATCAGAGAACATCACCGCGACTCAAGGCTCCCCGTTGAGCCTTGCAGATCTCAGCGCAACTTCATGGGGTTGATTAAAGGAACCTGCAAGGCTCTTGGCCGCTAGTGTACATAAAGAAAGAGCAAAATCACCTCACCGCTACTGTCGTGCGTGCAGGACGAGGAGGAGGCCGCAAGCACCTCTTTGTTTCCTTCCTTGCGTCCTTCACACCACACCTACTACGCAGAACCTCAACCTCGAGCAATTAAATCTCAACTCAACTGCTGTAGAAGTGGGGCCCAAAAATCGGCACCTCCCAGCTCCCCGGCCAACATTTGGATTGGTCGTAAAGGGCGCGGCCTCTCCTCTCTCTCAGGAGGGAGGGAGGCGTTTCAAGAACGAACCATGGCCACGCCAGTCGGACCCCACCAAGCTTTTCGACAACCGGACGTGCTAGGAACTCATTCTGGGAGCCTGCCTAGGCGCGGACTGCGCTAGGCATCGATCCTGGCAGGGACATGAAATCGTCAACTCCTCAGGGCGAGTTAAATCCGACCCCATGCTGACGAACTAACAAACGACGCTCAGTATCGGCAAAAGGAGAGACCTTTCCTTCCGTTCCCTGACCACGTGGTCCCATAGCGCCTTGGCTTTCATTTTGACTATCGACGTCCTGCTCGAATCGGCTAATCTCGAGCCCAGCGTCGACCTCCTGCACTGCTGGTCGAAATCTGACAATGTCCACGGGCGCCGAACATTTTCCATATCGTGGGGCCCGAAACACGAAATTCTCTTCGTCCTCCAATTGCATAGCCCTTCCGGCCCTCCCGACGGAGCCCGCAAGCATTAGGCCCTAGCCATTATCTTCGATTATTTCTCTAACACAATCGTGTCGATCGCATTTCGGCCTCCGGAGCTTCGTGTGCAAACGCGAGTTATTTGCTCGGAATGCAGATTTTTCCTGCACCGAATTGTGAGACCCGTGTTTACACACTTTTCTAGGCGCACGTTTACATGTAAGCGTCGATGAGTGTCAGATCTAATCAGGCGGCGTGCCGAAAGAAAAAGTTAAAGCAAAAGGCCTGCTTTGCTTAGAGCGATGCAACGCTAGGAACTAAACTTGGACTTCGTCTAAAGGTTGGCGAGTTGTCTGGGAATTGTAGTGGATCGAGGCCTCTGATACACGAGTCCATGACAGAATCCAGGATAGAGGAAACGGTGCGCAGCCCATAGACAAAGCTTTTTTTAAGATATATTATACATGACCCAAGAGTACAGAATAAGGCATGACCAGGATAAAAGGCAGTGCCATTGAATTGTTTTCTAAAAAGAGTGGTGCAACCTGGAACCAGGACTGGCTACTCATCATATCTGAATCTGAAAAGGAAAACCCTCGACAACTCTATGTCTTCATCGTTGTATCGCGTCCCAACCATATGACAATATTACACGGTTGGAAAGCCCGCATCAGTCCAGAGCTTTATGTCAATCGGGCCCAACGAGTCAAAGACCCCAAAAGGTAACCTACACGGGAAGTGTGAATCTAAGGAACAACCTCCCTACGAGTGGGGACATGGACATCAAGAGCCCAGACACATCTTCCTTGAAGCAAGTATCGTCGGGAAGATTGGAGTAGGCGACGATATTCCATCAGGTATCACTCATCAGGCAGCCCGGAATCTTTCATCCGTAGGAAGAAACAATTGGCACCGATATTATAAAAGATTAAGTCTTCCATTAGCACCGCTTTGGATTTAGAGAAGGGAATCCACTCACTGTGGTCGGCACTTGAAGAACCAGTTGTCTGCAGCGTGTGGCGGTCCCATGTAGACGATGGTAGAAGTATGTTCCGCTTCAAGGCGTACTGTATGTACAGGGTACAACTTTTTACATTCCATTGTACTATATGGTATTATGAACTTGTACTGTACACCCTTTTGTGTGGACCGTTCACTCCTTGATACAGATTCTTGTATTCTGTCCTACAGTCCAGTTCTGTACTGTACATTATGAGTCTTGCGGTTCTACTCGCCTACCCCATCCTTCCCATCGATGATGCCTGTTCGTATGCGTACATGTACAACCGGGTTTACATGGTCCTGAGATGACAACCTGGTGGCTAAGTTGTACTGCGCTGTCCGACCGCGTGGCCTTCCATCTCCATCAGACGACGTCCCAGCGCACTCTTCGAGTTTCGCTTCGTGGGCTGGGGGTCGATCTCACTTCTCAGGAGAGCGGCCCCGATCTTGCCTCGTTGAAACCCTCGAATTCCCTCTCCCCTTTGAGCTCGTAGATTTTGATTTTGATTTTTGGCTTCCACTTTGTATGGTTCTATTTGCAATATTTCTCACTATCCAGACGGCATGAAGAGGAGGAGCACGAGCACGAGCACGAGGAGGAGGTGAAGTCTAAGACACGATAGAAGAAAAGGAAGAAAAGGAAGAAAAGGGGATGAAAAGTTTCGAACCCATCTTCTGGTGTAGCAGACTTTGATAGTCATTCGGCACTCGAGAGCTGGATTGATAGATAGATTGGTTGATGTGCCATCAATTCTGCTGAGATGGATCGATTCGGAATCCACCTGATAGCATGAAAGATGTCATCTCATAAGTCCTCTCTCATCGAGCGGACTGGAGATACATCAAGGATTGAAGCTTCTCGGCCGGTTCAAAGTGTCTCCAATAGTTTGTTGCGTTGTAAGGAAACTGGTCTCGACTAAATAAAAGACGAGTTATGTTGACGAGATGAGGATAATGAAACGAGGCTCAATTGTCAGTCCAGAAATGTCGGTTTCATAGGTTGGGTTTGCAACAGCTTACTCTCAACGTGGTCTAGAGTGTTTAGATTGGAAGGAGACGCTCAAACGCGCACATGTGGCTTGATTCTTTGCTTTTCCGTCCAAGTGATGTACCGTAGCGTTCGACTGCTTCGCAGCAAGTTGACCTTGATCGAGGAAGAAGGGATGTTATGAAAGTCAAGAGCAGCCTGCATGTGAAGGATCACAAACAGTCAGCCGTTGACATTGGGGAGTGAAGCACATTAGAGACATGTGAGCAGATGATTCCGGCTAGAAAACCTGCTAGATGGATGAAGTCTGAAAATTAATGTCTACCATAAGACAGACATCGTGGGGAGGGACGAGTAGAACCTTCGGGGTGATTAGGACCCAAGCTTAGTGGACTTCCGAACAAAAGAGAAGTCAAAGACACACTGAAGTGCTTAGGTAGATTCGTCTCGTCTGTTCTTCAGCAAGTGGTGCTTCTGAAGATTCTGAATTGTTGTTCGCGTGCTCATACCGGTACTAAGTATGAAACGTCGAATGGTTTCTCATGAGTCGAAAAGTTTCTTGTCAAAGCTCAAGGAATCGGAAGTGGCGACAAGGAGCTGATTAAGATCGAGCGGGCGGGCAGGCAGGACACGGCGGCTAATTGGAACATTATCGGGGCTGGTCATGCAGCAACAGCTGCCGCCATTGTGTGATTCTCACTACTACCCAAAACCCTCGGCTGAGTCTGTTTCTATGAACATTCCTACGTTCAGCCAAGATACAGCCATGCCATGATCATGGACTGGACTGACAAGCGTTCAACAGGGCGAAGAGGAAGATAATAGAAACGACGGCCGAAGCACTGAGATGAGCCCTCCCCCTTTCCTTGCCAATGTGCTGGACATCTGGCGATGGGATTTCGTCCCTTTACTTGATCATTTCCATGACATGGTATACGATTTGAAATGGCTGCCTCCATACTATAGGAGAAAACAAACCCGGAGGATGTGCCAGCCTGCTGTGCTGGAAGTGCAGTTTCGCGGCCGAGCCACCTGCCACTCGTTGACTCGACAGGAGAAAGAAACTTGCTACAGACTGCCCTGACCTTGGGATGCACTGCTGAGGTGGGAATCATGGACTCTTGCCGTTTATAGTCTCTTTTCAAAATGGCCTTGCTGTGAAGTTGGATCTCACGCGCCAAGTCGCTCGGAGCAGGAGGATTAGAGTGCAAGTAGTGATCAAAACCGAATCTCCGACATTCGGCCCTATGAACAGTGATTTCACTTGAACCCTTCGAGAGATTCCGCTTACATGCGAAAGACAGGCCAGTTCTATTGTTGCGGATGGATTAGCTGTGAGTTGACAATTGGCTTCGAATTCAACTTTTGCGAGTTCTACGAAATCCGGTCATTCGACTCCTTGCTCCGCGGGATAGAGAGGGAAAGCCATCCAAAATTAGACCCAAATGCTTCTCCGCGTCATCAAAAGCGAACCAAGACCGAAGGAGAAGGCATGTTCTTCTGCCTTCTCGTTCGGTCTTGGTTTGCCTTTGTGTCCTCCATGGGGCTCCTCCCTCCCCACTTTTCTCTTGCCCTTTTGGACTAGTATAGAATAAGACTCCTAGACAATATTAATTTTCTCCTTCGGTTGTCGAGTAAAGAAGAGCGTTTCTCCGTCGATTTCTCTATGCACCGATTCAGCTTTATGCCAGAAATCTTAGTGACATTTAATGCTCGTATCGAGGACCATATCCGGCTGAAGCTCGCTCATGCCGGCTAAAGTGGGGAAGGTACAGCTCGGACCCACCTGCATACTACAGACGCTCGTATGCCATGACAGACAGAAGTCGCACTCTGGTTATAATTGCCAATGCTGGTTGTTGTTGGCGTCCGGTACATGCTCTCGATGGACGCTGATTGCAACGTGGATGACAGGCAACAGTCGCCGAGTGGCCCGAAGGAAAGCTGAAGAAAAAAGCCTCGTCCATGCGTTCACCGGAACATAATTTGCTTTGACATCGGCATCGGCATCGGCCAGATGGTGGAGCACAACAAGGCGTGAAGTAACTGAGGCCTGAATCCATCAGTCCTTCATACGGCTTCTCTGGACGCTTGGGAAATCATGAATCACCAGACGATTGCAAGATACTCTAAACTACTTCAACCCTAAACAATGTTCCGTCTTGCACTGTTCGAACAAACCGGCCGACGATGGTCGAGTGGATGGATTGCACATCTCTGGCACAGGCGTGAGTGAGCCTGTCTGGCAGATCGTCCAAGCAGGATGCCAACCGACAGGAGACCGAAACCCGGAGTGACGGCAGATCGCCGATTCAGAACTCGATCGAGTCACTTTCGGGACGTTTCCCGACTTAGCTGTACGCATTGGTCACGTTTCCGTAAAAGTCCGGAGACAGACACGAGCATTTGAAGCCGAGACTGAAGACAAAAGGTCCGAGGTTACCATTGGATCGATCGGACAAATTGGGCATTTCGAAACTTCAAGGAGCGACTAAAT